GGAAGAAGAAAAAGAAAGAACAACTCAGCCATCCTTATCCTAATTTCCTTTCTTTTTAAGTCCCTCAAGTTTGGACATTTTGATCATTAAGCCTCAAAACACTATTTTCTCACACAAAGGTCCTTAACTTAATGCTAAAATACCCCAAAATTTTGGGATATTACAGGCACAGTCTTGTTCCTCAAAACTTTCTCTTTTCTATCCAAAATCTGTATTGGCCGTTCGGTGTAACTCAAATCTTCCTTCAACTCCAATGGTTCGTAGTTAATGACATGTGAAGGATCTGGCTCATACTTCCTTAAAACAAACACATGAAATACATGATGCACATTTGACAATTTTGGAGGCAACACAATTCTACAAGCCACTTCACCAACTCTGTCAAGAATCTCAAATGAACCAATATATCTCCCACTGAGTTTTCCTTTCAAGCCAAACCGGTACACACCCTTAGTTGGTGACACCTTCAAAAATACATGATCTCCAACTCCAAATTCCAGAGGTCTCCTTCTATTATCTACATAACTCTTTTGTTTGTCTTGAGCCACTTTAAGCCTCTACTGAATTAATTTCACATTTGTTATTGTTTGCTACACAAAATCGGGCCCCATTACCCTTCCATAACCAACTTCTGCCCAACAAATTGGAGCTCTACATCTCCTACCATAAAGAGCCTCATAAGGTGCCATTTTAATACTAGAATGATAACTATTATTATAAGCAAACTCTACCAATGGAAGATGGTCATCCCAACTTTCAGGCAAGTCTAATGCACAAGTTCTCAACATGTCTTCGAGCACTTGAATAGTCCTCTTAGACTGCCCATCAGTTTGTGGGTGGTATGCTATGCTTAATTTCAATTGAGTTCCCATGGCTTTTTGAAAAGATCTCCAAAATCTTGCATTGAACCTTGGATCCTTGTCCGATACAATGCTCACTGGAACTCCATGGAGTCTAACAATCTCCTGAACATAAAACTTGGCCAACTTGTCCAATGGGTCTTTTTGTTTTACGGCCAAAAAGTGAGCTGACTTTGTCAATCTATCCACAATCATCCAAATTGCATCAAATTGCCTTCTCGTCTTTGGCGATCCCATAATAAAGTCCATTGAGATGGCGTCCCACTTCCACTCTAGTATAGGCAAAGGTTGAAGTTGCCTTCCTCGCTTTTAGTACTCTACTTTTACCACTTGACAAGTCAAACACTTGGACACATATTTAGCCACATCCTTCTTCATGCTTTTCCACCAGAATGTTTCTTTCAAGTCATGATACATTTTGGTGCTCCTAGAATGAATTGTATAATTGGACTTGTGTGCTTCTTAGAGCAATTCTATCCTCAACCCCTCATTATATTGAACACAAATTTTATCTCCAAGTCTTATGATTCCATCATCCGAAATATGAAGACCTATCTTGGGGCTTTTTCCACTGTCCTTCATCCACTCCATCAATCTTGAATCTTTCTATTGTGCTTCCTTGATCTTTGACAATAGTGTAGGTTGAACCATCAAACTAGGCACTAGTACATCAAACTTTGGTGGGAAAAATCTGACATCCAAATCCTTGAATTCTTCTAGGAGTTTTCACTCCATCACCATTAACCTTGCTAAGGTGCCAGTTGATTTTCTGCTAAGTGCATTTGTAACCACATTTCTCTTTCCAGGTTGATAGACAATTTTACATCTATAGTCATTCAGATACCACCCATCTTCTTTGTCTTAAGTTGAGCTCTTTTTTGCGAAAATAAATATTTCAAGATCTGCTGATCAGTGTGCACTTCAAACTCTTCTCCATACAAATAATGCCTCCACAACTTAAGTGCAAAAATTATGGCAGCAAGTTCTAAATCATGTGTAGGGTAATTCCTCTCATGCGTCTTGAGCTGTCTGGACCCATAAGCTATCACCCGTCCATGTTGCATAAGTACACAACCCAAGCCTTTGTGAGAAGCATCGGTATATACCACAAAGTTTCCTCCATTGTCGGGAATAGCAAGAATTGGTGCTGTGACCAATCTGTTCTTCAACTCTTGAAAGCTTTGCTCACATTTATTTGTCCATTCAAACTTGTGATTCTTATGAGTAAGTTGTGTTAACGGACCTGAAATCTTTAAATATCCCTCCACAAACCTTCTGTAATATCCTGCTAGCCCAAGAAAGCTCTGCACTTCGGTGACACTAGTCAGCCTTTCCCACTTCACAATTGCTTCCACTTTACTTGGATCAATTGATATGCCATCTTTAGAAACAATATGACCCAGAAAACTAATCTGATTCAACCAAAATTCACACTTATCAAACTTGGCATAGAACTTCTTTTCTCTCAAAATCTACAATACAATGGCAAGATGCTCCTCATTGCTCTCTTCATCAGGAGAAAAGATAAGAATGTCATCAATAAAGACAATGACAAACTTATCCAAGTATAGTTGAAAGATTCTATTCATAAGATCCATAAAAGCTGCAAAGGCATTGGTTAAACCAAATGGCATTACCAGGAACTCATAATGCCCATATCTGCTTCTAAAAGCAGTCTTTATCACATCCTCGAGTTTAACCTTTAGTTGATAATAACCTAATCTAAAGTCAATTTTGGAAAAGACACAAGCCCCTTGTAACTGATCAAACAAATCATCAATCCTTGGCAAAGGATATTTGTTTTTTACGGTGACTTAATTCAACTGTCTATAGTCAAGACACCATCTAAGTGAGCTATCTTTCTTTTTCACAAAAAGAATCGGAGCACCCCAAGGAGAAGTATTGAGTCTAGTGAACCCCTTATCAAGAAGCTCTTGCAACTACTTTTTCAATTTAATTAATTCTGCTGGGGCCATTTTGTAAGGTTGCTGGGATATTGGTCAAGTACCAAGTACAAGGTCTATAGTAAATTCAATCTCCCTATCTGGAGGTAACCCAAGCAACTCTTTGGGAAAAACATCAGGGAAGTCTTCTACTACTCGAATTCCTTCTACAGACATTGGTTTGTCTTTAGATTAAAAAACATACACCAGATATCCATAACATTCATGCTATAACATTTTATCAGCTTGCATGCAAGAAACAAGTAATCGAAATTATCCAACTTTTTCTCCTTCAAACCGAATCACAGGTTGGTTATGAGCGAAAAAAGTAACCACCTTCTCATAACAGTCAACCATGGCATAATGGGTAGACAACCAATCCATACCAAGTATGACATCAAATTCCACTATTCCTAACAAAATCAGATTGGCAGGAAAGACTCTACCCTTTACCATAACTCTACAAGATCTATAGATGGTTTTTGATGTTAAAACCTCCTTAGAAGGAGTATTCACCACAAGCACACAATCAAGGGTCTCAGGCTCCACATGCAAAAATGGCACATACTTAGGTGACACAAATGAGTGGGTAGATCCAAAGTCAATCAACACATTGGCATTCCCAAAAGAGATAGGTATTTTACCTTTTATAACTGTAGGAGTGTTCTGAGCTTGTTGTTCTGTAATAGCAAAAACTCTTCCTTGGACCCTTGGCTTCTTATTATCTTGATCCTTTGGCTACTGACTTGCTCCCTTGAGAACTGGGCAATCCTTGATCAAGTGACCCATCCTCCCACACTTAAAACATGCCCTAGTTTATCAATAACATTCCTTCCTTCCTTCCATGATTCTTACCGCACCTCTTGTAAGAATCATAACTCTGTTTGTTGTTTTCTAGCATCTTCCTTTTTCCTCTTTGATCAAGCTTCTTGTTGAAAGGTTGGCTGTTAGTAGCCTTTCCCTTGCCTTTTTGATCATGAGTCTCCATATTCTGCTCATCCATATCTTGCTTAATTATTTGAGCTGTGGCTAAGACCTCATTCATAAGTCTTTAACATTTGAGGAACCACCTTGTTCCTAATGGAAGCTTTCAACCCTTTCTGAAACTTCCTTGCCTTCCTAGCTTCATCATTGACAAAGTAAAGAGTAAACTTCACAAGGGATTTGAATTTAGCTTGATACTCATCAACTATCATATCATCTTGCTTCAAATTCATGAACTCTAGTTCCTTTCTTTCTAAAACAGCTTCAGAGAAATATTTCTGATAAAAGGCCTGAACAAACTTGTCCCATGTTACCTTTTCCCCCCTCTTAGAGAACCCATCTTGAGCAACTATCCACCAATCATCAGCTTCACCTTCTAACGTGAACATTGCCAACTCCACTTTTTGCTCGTTAGTACACTTTAACAGCTTAAACATCTTTTCTAGTTTCTTGATCTAAGACTCAACCACATTAGGATCAAGGACTCCCTTGAAGCTAGGTGGGTTCATATTCTGAAATTGCTTCACCAGTATCAACTGCTCATTTCCTTCCCTTGAGTCCACTGTTTGTTGCGAGTTACCACTAGTGTTTTGTTGGGCATTATTATTGTTCTAGTGTAAAAGGTAATCCCTAAAGACAAAACTCATGTCTGTAATGGCTTTTTGCATTGCATCCATTCAGGCATTCACGTCATCAGTAGGAGTAGGAGTAGAAGTATTGTCTCCTTGACTCATCTTTCTCCTTTGCTGTTGATACAAACAAACAAATAGCACAACTAATGGTTAGGCAAAAATCTAATCTTATGACACTAGACTTTAACTCACATGGCATATCAATGTATTAGTAAAACCTTGAGTCTGATAGCAAAAACATAACACACCTCCCTTGGGTACTCTCAGTTTTAGAAGAGTCTTGAAATAAGATTTATAGTAAAGAATTGCAGCGGAAGTAAAAACACTTTTGATATAAAATGTTTCTTCAAAAGAAAGCTTGTATTTAGAAAATCAATTTACATTTTGAAAAGAGAAGATTATAGATACCTGTAAAGAAAAACCACTTTAACAAAAAAAATATATCAATATATGTATTGGAAAAATGCCAAAATATTCAAAGTTATAAAATAAGCTGAGCTAAGCTCATTTATAATTAATTTAAAGATTTTATACATAAAGGTAATTTACTCAAAAATTATATGAGGCAAATTCTTCTCCAAAGTTTTTCAAAAGAACAAAAGCTAAGTCATTGTTTTGGTAACACATC